AATATATATGTGCTTACATTATATTACCTTACAATAATACAGTACAGTTTTATTTATGTAGAATTGGCATTCGTTAATTTTATTGAATTTTATATAGGCAATAAAATATTGCGTAAAGTAGCTCAATTTAACTATACCTATAAATTCATTCACTTATGTATTACTGTAACATCATACAGTTGAAGAATGGTTTACATTGAACTATGATGTTACATTAATACAGAAGTGAATGAATTTATAGGTATAGTTAAATTGAACTACTTTATACAAGATTTTATTGCCTATATAGGATTCAATAAAATTAACGAATGCCAATTCTACATAAATAAAACTGTACTGTATTATTGTAAGGTAATATAATGTAAGCACATATATATTAATGTTGAACATTATATACTAAAAATAAAATTAACGAATGCCAATTCTACAATAAAACTTTATTATTGTGATTTACTTATTATTATTAGATTTTCTATAATACATGTGCTGTCGTGTCTCATGTAGAACCAGGAGAATATATTCATTCTGATGTGGAAGCAGGGATTATTAAGTATCTTTCATATATTTCCATCGCATCTATTGTTAATCAATTGGAACTAGACTTCAATATAGACGGATGCAGTTTAGATAAGTCAGGTAGCATTCAGATCTGGCCCATCCAATGTAGAATTGCAAATATACAACATGCAAGGCTTATAGTAGTTGAAATTTATAAAGGTGCGCATAAGCCATGCGATTCCAATATTTTCCTGGAAAAATTCTTTATGGATATTAGAAAAATCACGTGTAGTGGAGGTATTAATTTTCATGGTAATAAGATTCCAATAAGATTAAGATGTTTCATAGCTAACGCACCAGCTTGAGCTTTTTATCATCGTAATCATGTGTCCTGCCAGCCTTGTTCCAAATGAAAAGTTTCTGGGATACGTCATGAAAGTTATTATGTTTTTAATGGCACTAATCATCCTCTTCGCACAGATGAAGAATATATCAGATGTTTAGACGAGGATCATCACAAAGAGGGCAGGAGCCCATTATCAATGCTTCCAATAGGTATGGTATTGCAAGTTCCTTTTAAGTACATGCACCTTGTATGATTGGGTGTAATGAAAAAACTCTTGTCTGCATGGATATACGGAAAATATTCACGTCTATCAAAGTTGTCAGGAAGATCCATCCATATTATGTGTACAAGATTGAATAATCTTAGAGAATATTGTCCATCGGATTTTGCAAGACGTCCCAGATCTCTCGATATATGTTCCAAGTATAAAGCAACAGAATTTCGTCAATTTCTACTTTATACAGGCCCAGTTGTAACGTACGGTGTACTAGACGAACGATTGTACAAGCATTTTTTATTCTTACACGCAGCAATAAGAGTCATGGTCTCCAATTCATCGTCAAGACAACACTTAAGCTTTGCAGAACTTGCGCTGCAAAAATTTGTTTATAGAAGTGAAAATCTGTATGGTCCAACATTTAATACTTATAATGTCCACGGTCTTCTTCATCTTATCAGCGATGTCAGACGTTTTGGTTGTTTAGATTCATTTTCCGCATTTCCTTATGAAAATAACATGTCAATTTTCAGGAAATATTGTAGGAAACCGGGTGTACCTCTCCAACAGTTTTTTAATAGAATGGCAGAGATAGAAGTTCATGGAACAAGCAATAATCAAGATGTTGATTCGTCTATTGTATCTATACCATATAATAATGATAGTAATTGTCTTCAATACCGTAAAATTAAATTTAATAACATATCATTAGGTATAGATGTACGTGACAATTGTTGTATCTTACGTGATGGATCGATCTGTATCGTCTTTAACATTGTCGTGGATAATAACTCCTTTTGTTTGGGTGTTAAAAATTTTTTAGAGTTTCATGATTTTTCACGATATTGGCATGGTATCCTCTGTTTTTCAAATATATAGGTGCGCTACTTTAAACAGCGAAATTTTTTATGTTCATCCAGATGAGGTCCATGCAAAATGTTATAGGATGCCTTTTTTCAACAGCACATCGATGGACGATAGCGACAGTGACAAAGCAAATAATTCGGAAACGTCGCAATATATTGTCGCTGTTATTATACACAGCGAGAAGATGTAAGATGTATCTATGCTGTAAACTGTTTATTTTTATTTTTATAGGAATTGCCATAACACGTATTCTCTTTTTTTGCATCTGTCTTCCATATTTTTCTCTCTTTTGCTTTCTAACTTTGTCGCTCTTACATGGTCTTTTCAAAAAGTGAAAATTGTAACCATACGAGATGCTGTAATATTTACATTTTGTCTTTTTCTTATACTTTCTTATACTTGCCTTGTTTTTTAGAGATAATACATATTGTACCTATCTCCTTGTATTGTATCTATCTATATTATATGTTCCTCGCGATAATTTGCTTAATAACTCACTTTGATGTTCGAATTTCTACTCTTTAAATATATTGTAACATCTCTTTATAATCCATTCTTGATTGAATTGCACTTGACACTAAAAAGCATTTTGTAGATAGATTGTAGGTTCATTTTAAACAAAAATATATAAACATGTTAATTTGAAGAAAAAGGTCAATGTTATGTGAAACGGTAAGAGTTATTGCATAAAATATTACTATTCTATAAAGTTTTAAAATATGTATATATTGCCGATATTGATATATATTGTGAAATATAATAAACTGCATTTATAAGCTACTTTTTGAGAGAATAAAATAATCATGGATATTGTAATATTGCTTGTTTTTTAAATAACTAGAGTCAGAAATTAACAAATACTTAAATTAGCGACAGTGACGAAGCAAATAATTCGGAAACGTCGCAATATATTGTCGCTGTTATTATACACAGCGAGAAGATGTAAGATGTATCTATGCTGTAAACTGTTTATTTTTATTTTTATAGGAATTGGCAGAACACGTATTCTCTTTTTTTGCATCTGTCTTTCATATTTTTCTCTCTTTTGCTTTCTAACTTTGTCGCTCTTACATGGTCTTTTCAAAAAGTGGCGAGAAACCGTACGAGATGCTGTAATATTTACTGTGTTATATTTATATTTTGCCTTTTTCTTATACTTTCTTATACTTGCCTTGTTTTTTATAGATAATACATATTGTACCTATCTCCTTGTATTGTATCTATCTATATTCTATGTTCCTCGCGATAATTTGCTTAATAACTCACTTTGATGTTTGAATTTCTCCTCTTTAAATATATTGTAACATCTTTTGATAATCCATTCTTGATTGAATTGCACTTGACACTAAAAAGCATTTTGTAGATAGATTGTAGGTTCATTTTAAACAAAGATATATAAACATTAATTTGAAGAAAAAAGTCAATGTTCTGTGAAATGGTAAGAGTTATTGCATAAAATATTCCTATTCTATAAAGTTTTAAAATATGTATATATTGCCGATATTGATATATATTGTGAAATATAATAAACTGCATTTATAAACTACTTTTTGAGAGAATAAAATAATCATGGATATTGTAATATTGCTTGTTTTTTAAATAACTAAAGTCAGTAATTAACAAATACTTAAATTTATTACGAAAATCATTTTACATAAATTCATTGAAAATCTTTTTTATATCTGACTATAATTAGTATAAAATATATCTGTTACATATTATATAAAATGTATCATTTACTAATATGTATTTTGACTTACAGGGATTTACAGATGGAGAGGCCGAAGCGTATAATTTCTAAACCATTGCGCTATCAGAGAACTTCTTCGGACGAAAGTCCGAAACGAAGAAATACCGCATCAGCAACTACCGGAGATATCAATAAGGACATCGACGATTTGAGGAGGATTGGGCAAAACATGGATAATGAAATAAATTATTTTTTTTCTCCATAACATACACTTATACAAAATCAAACATCGTACACACGCGCATACATTCCAAAACAATCAAATGAACCACATACAAACGTTGGGTCACATACAGTCATACAACCACAAAAAATATTTAAATATACAGCGGAATAAATAGTCAAGCACATACAAATATTCAATCGCATACAAATATTGAAGCATATGGCATAAACAATCAAGCACACACAGATATTCAATCACACACAAACATTGAAGCACACGATATAAATAATCAAACATACATAGACCTTCAACCATACACAAGCATGCAAGCATACAGTACAAATAGTCAAACACACACAGATCTTCAACCGCATACAAGCATTTAATCATGCAGCGCAAACAGTCCAGCACAGACAGACCTTCAACCGCATACAAACATTCAATCATACAGTATAAACAATCGAGCACACACAAATCTTCAACCGCACACAATTAAAACATTTCAAAACACTTGTGCCACTAATGTATCGCAGGCATCACATACATTACACACATCTTCTTCCCCACACAATAATACATCAGACATAGAAACTGGAAAAACAATTTACACTAATGATACATTATTCGAGTTTTAGGACAATACGGAAACATTATCTCCTCAGGGCAGCACTATACATCAACGCAGACAAGTTCATCAAGGATCGGCTCATGGTCAGCGTACTTTAACACATGCAGAAATAATAGATGGGTAAATTTAAATATAATTGTTTGTATAAAATAAATCATTGTAAATTAAATAAAAATACAGATGCTATATAATAATAAATATTAGAATAATATGTACCTGTAAATGTTATTTAATCTTCGCAGAAGAGCGCACAGCTGTATACGTAAGAATCGACGAGGAAGGTTATTCTGACGTCGTAAGTAAAACGAAAAAGGTGTATGCTCTTTATAATTTTTATGTAATATATATATTTTAATTTATAATTTTTACTTACTTTGTTTAGGTCAATTATTTAAGTTATATCGGCGGCTTCAATTTGAAAGAAGCCATAAATCTGTGTTTCAAGGAAGCTATAAAAGATTTCTTAACACCTTCATTCACTTGGTGAGGTCGCGAGAAAGGACGATCCTTGTATAATGCTCGCCTCACTGTGGCTATTTATGGTACAATCTTTTCCATTTTTTTCATGTAACTGTTATAATCATTATTGCGTGTCCCTCTAACAATAATGTATCTTGCATTCTTTTTTCAGAGGCTGTGTGTTCTAACCGGCATTTCGATAAACCGACTCGGTCGGAATTTCAATTGCAATTTCGTGAAGCTCTTCGGATGGCGAAAGGAAGATTGAGGCATAGAATGAGAGATCCACACATGCAGTCAATCAATCGCGAGAGCGGCGATGAACGGCCACAAGAAAATACGAATACCGTTGAGCAAGAAACCACAAATGGCGAGGATTGAAAGTACTTTGCACTTTATTTATACAGGTTAGTTAAGGGGATCCAAAAGCTCGTCTGTTTTACCGACCAAAACGATTATTATTTTGCACACCGAAATCTTTTTTTTAATTGAATAGAATAATAAATCCTTTTCCACGATTTAAGTACACATCGAAACAAAGACGAGACTTCACGAGTTTATGTTAAAATCAGAAAGAAACTAAAAAATTACAGTTTTTTTATCGGCCTCTGGCGTCAGGTCAGAACTTTTTGAAAATTTTAGAAAATGAATTCGAAATATCTTGTATGTCGGACCACTTTTCGAGAGATGAACATATCAATCGAGAACATGGATTTTTCCGATTATAATAATATCAAAATGATACTGGTACTTGCACTTGATGTACAGATCTCGATATTTCATATGAATTTTTCGGCCAAAAAGGTGTCACTTTTCGAGACGCCATGATTGTCCAGGTTCACTGATACGCCGCTAGGCTATGCTGCTAGTCCGTTTTCCAAGTTCACTGATACGCCGCTAGGCTATGCTGCTAGTCCGTTTTCCAGGTTCACTGATACGCCGCTAGACGTATGTCGCTTTGTTCGCAAGACGCCCTATTGTTCCAGATTCATTGATATGTATACGCACGCACACATACATACATACGCGCGCCACACAATTCGCGCACACACGTAACGCATATACGCACGCATACGTACGCGCGCACACATGCACGCATATATCTCATAAATATAAATATTAAAATAAAATTAATAATATATTAAATAATAATTTTTCATAATTTATGTAATGTACCGCATTCTTTCTATGCAGTATGGAATAATTCGTGAAGGTGAATTATGAAACATCCTGTATAGCAAAATCAAGAAACGCGATAGCGTCTCTCGTTAATATATAATAATTATATATAATAAATGTAATATAAGTATATCTTTCGTCTTGTTACAATAGATACATAATTTGTTGACATATTCTATGGTTTCGTCTTTTTTGTTATTAAATACATGATATGTTAACATATCTTACGGAAAAATCGTTTGGACATACTTTCACAAAATAAACATTACAAATACAAAGCCGCTGATGAGGAGCGAATGAAGCAAAAACATTGAATATTTAAGAAGAAAAGGGATAGTTTTATTACATATATACACATTTATATATATACACTTCTATGGAGACTGTAGCGCAGAGTGATTCTCGATTTCGTTGTTTCAACGCGATTCACTGTGTTATAGTTTGTGCAGTGTAATAGTTTTAAATATTGGTGATTGGCGTGAGGAGATTAAGTTAATTTGTATTTCTAATTTATTCTACAATTCTATATTTATTTATTACAGAAAATATCTAAGGTTAACGTAATATTTCGCATTAAATTTAGTTACATTACTCAATTTTATCGAATTCTATTAAATGTCTTAATATTTATTATATTTACAATAACCTTTAATATATTTATAATAACCTTTAAAGTTTTAGTAATTGTTATACGATCGAGAATAGAG